GTCTTGATCCATCAATAATTTTGATACAAGATTACATTAAACGGAATTCTATCAAATGTCTTTGTATGGTCAAAATCTCTGTTGCAATAACTCCAAAACTGCAAATATCTGATGCTTGGGTATATAGTTGATCTATCAAAACCTCAGGTGTTATATATAGCAGAAATACACAAAAATTTCTTCATTTACTTTTTTTAAAAAGTTCTAGTAGCAATGTATGCAAGAGTTTGCAAAATGGTTCCACTATGTAAATCTCTATGAATGAGTTCTTGTAAATGAATTGACTCAAGATTAGACACTATACTACACAAGAGATTCAATTTGTCTTTCCATTCCAATTGTGATACTTGTTCAAGATTTTGTTATAACAAACCTTTTACTGCAATCTTCATAACAATAAAATAATTACCATAATTATTTCTTGGCACTCCAATACATTTCAAGAACAATGGATTCTTGTAACATATTTCACAATAATTTTTCAATTTATAGATAAATTTTTGCACAGTTTTGTTTAAATTACGAATTACTTTAGATGCAGTATTTCTCAATATATAATTAATTTTATCTTCCCAATTTGTTTAATATACAGAAGATCTGATTAACTCCCTGACAATCACTTTGTAGACACCACATTTCACTGAAAATTACTTATTGACAAGTTCATTTTACTGGTAGTTTATTTTACCAAAGCTTATTTTACAGACAAAGTAATTCTGGTCAATATCATCAGGGTTATGTTAGAATTAAAGTTTGTGTAATTTATACAAAAAAACTTGTCAGTGAAATGAGCTTTGATGAAATAAAATGTTAGTAAAATGAATTTGTTGATGAATAATTGGTAAAATGTAGTGTCTATGAAGTGATTGTCGGTGAAATAATACAGACCCTTGTGAACCAATAATTTGCACTCTTAATATCTCTTTTTGTACTGATACCATTTCGATAAAATCTAGCAACATTACTCATTGCTCCATTAGCACCAAAATCAGCAGATTTTTTGTAATATTCAAATGCTTTATTATAATCTCGATCAACCTATTCTACTTTCATAAAAAAACCAACATTACACATTACAAAAGCATTATCTAAATCAGCCGATTGCTTATAATATTTAAATGATTTTTAATAATTTAGAGCGTTCTCAAACACCTAATTCAATAAAAGATCTAATTGGCTAATTTAATCTAACAGACCAATCAGATTTGTTATTGAGTCCATTAAGGTAGGTGCTTGAGATGTTCTTATTTTTTCTCCAATTTCATGATGATAACAATGACCAATATAACATATTGCAACCGGATTTCCTAACTCAGCTGCTTTTATAAACATTCAAAAGTCTTCTTATCATTTTTCTCAACATTTTCAACAACTGTAACCAAGTGTATAAAGTTGTCCTGAATCCTTTATTTTTATTTTTTTTTAAAAAAAAAAATTTACTAAATAAAATACTGTTTATTTTTTGAGTTTAAAAAATATATTAAGCATTTACTTCTATATAGTCATGCTATATATAAATTTATATAACTATATAGAGTAAATACTATATAATTACCCTTATTTATAATCACGCTTTTGCCTCAAACAAACTGCATGATTATAGAGGAGGACAACTGTAATAATTTTTTTTTAACTATTATATATTTAAATAAAATTATTAGAAAATTAACTATTACCTCCTGTGAAATTTACCAGAGGTGCTACATTTTAAATTTATACTAAGTAAATAGAATTAAGTACTCTAGGTAGTGTTGCAGACAAAATTATATATTTTACTCAGACAAAATTTCTAAAATAAAGTGAAATATATTTTGCTCAAAAGCCTGAAATCCAATAATTCTGAAACTGGTGAAATTAGCAAATATTTAAAACCTGGCAAAATGTCTGAAAATTGGCAAAACTAAAACCTGGTGAAAGTTCCTAAATCTAATATTAGAATTTTTATTAGAAAAAATATCTAGAGTGTAGTGAAACAGAGTATGAGATATCTTCACTCAAAGATTTAAAAATTCAAACTGTCTAGCTGTGCCAAATTGTTGTTAATCTTTTACGAAGATATTTCAACACTTATCAAGCCAAATTTAATGAACTTTTTTTATTTAAATTCTATGAATCTGTAGAATTCAAATAAAAAAATATTCATTGAATTTGGCTTGGTGGGTGTTATAATATCTTCACTCAAATATTTAAAAATTTAAAACATCTATCAAAAAGAGCTGCACCAAACTTTTTTTTAAACTTTGAGTGAAGATATTATGACACCCACCAAGCCAAATTCAATGAACTTTTTTTTTATTTGAATTCTACTGATTTATAAAATTTAAATAAAAAAAGTTTATCAAATTTGACTTGGTGAGTGTCAAGATATCTTGACTAAAGATATATAAAATTTAAAACATCTATCAAAAAGAATTAACTATAGCTGCCGCAACAAAATTATAACAGCAGATTCTTAATTTTGACTAGTTAAAAGTAATAATCAAAAAATTAGACCATAATAACTTATAATTTTACTAATGAAATTGCAGGCATCTATTTAATTTTTTTTTTTTTTTTTTTTAAGTGATCCTGTTTTTATTTATTTGAACTACTATGTGATACAATAAGTGCTGAAGTACCTTTGATCTCTATAGCAAATGTTTTAGTCTAATAAAAACTCACCAATAGTACAAAGTACTACCCAATGTGACCCGCTAAAACAACTGTTTGTCATCACAAAGGGATCCAAAACTCGCTTCAGATTTTGTACTGTAGAGATACCCTCTCGATCAATTGACTGGTTGCTGTATACTGTGTCAGGATCCTCTGTTCTTTTTTTAAAACTTTTCCCACCTAAGTCCGGGCAGAATAATTATCTTCTACTTTTCTACAAGCTAAAAACATATATACCTCATTTATGAAAGAAAAACTACATCTAGGAGAAGAAAGGATAAACCAAACAGAATACACAAAGAACATATCCTAAATAAGATTTCATCATAAATGAACAAAGATAAAAAGAGTATAAAAAAAGGTCGGGTGATCCCGACATACACTGTTATAACCTGTGCCAGGTTTGTGTAAAAATTATATGACAGATACAACATCTGCATATCTCTGATATAAAGCTAAGCCTTAACTTTAATTTTATCCCACCGCATAAGATCGGAAATTTCTAGCCTTCGCAGCTCTGGGTCCCGTCCCTAAAGTGGTTGCTGCCACCATTATGTGTTTTCAAAACTTCCACGAAAGATTCCAGAGGTAGTCCAGTTTGAAATAGTGACACCGTTCCCATATTTGGCCCGGGTATGTGGTTGTACTCCACTGCATCATCCGAATTTGGTAACTGTAAACAATGTCGATCCTTTGACAGGGATAAGCTGTTTTGCCCACTTTTTCCGAAATTTTTGTTGCCAAACCAAGTGGGTGGTGTTTGAGAGTTCTTGTTATTATTGTACTTAGTCTTTTTGGTACTAAGGAGTGAAGGTTACCAAAGCCAGGGCCCAATATACTTAACTCAGAGAGAACTCTTCTTTTTGGTGAGTGATAAACTCTAAGGCTGTCAGCAAGTAGCATATGAGAACTACTTCTAAACAACAGTTGCCGTCCCTGCAGTGAGTGATAAACTCTAAGCCTATCGGCAGGTAGCATATGAGAACTACCTCTAAACAATAGGTGCTGACTTATGGTTTCATTTATTTCACCAGGTGTATTGTATATTAGGTTTCTTGTTTTTCAAATTGGATTCTTCCCAAAAATTTCAGTACGAGGGATCGTCAGTGAGAGTTGTGTATGTATTAGTAAATTTTGAAACCCATTAGAATCAATATTTAAATACCAATGCATACTAAGCCCATTTGTAAAGCAATCGCCTGTATTCTGAGCAGTTGGATATAAGCAAAATTTTACTGGAAAAGTATAACTGATATGTTGACTGCTTATGCAATCAACACATCAGTTATACTTTCCTAGTAAGATTCTAGTTATATCAAACTACTCTACTAATTCTATTCATTTATTTCAATTTTAATTCTAGAACAATTCAAAAAATCTAGATGAAAGGAAGACTTTAGTGTAGCTAAGTTTGGTCATGAATGAAATTAGGAGGAACGACTTGACGACTCTATATTACATATAGCTAGCTGGATCTTTGGTGTAGTGTATCTCTCATTTGGGTGTTGTGAATCTGCTGACCTGCACAAATTCAGGTCTAAAAATTTGAAAAGCTTTAAAGTGGATATAAATTCTAAATATTGTTCTAATATCCTAATGCAAATTACATATATCATTGCACTCTATTGATTCTATTGTTAATGTAACTAGAAAATCAGGATTATTACAATTATAAATATACCTGATATAAAGCTGCGTTAAGGTTAATCCTTATATCGAAGTTAATTGTATTTGAGGGCTTTTGTCCAGGTTTCAAATTGGTTGAATTGTAGTCTTAGTGAGGCGTCACCAATTTTATCTTTATTAATCCTATATGAAATAAATTTGTTATTAGCATAAAACTCTAACAAAACTATAAATATTAAAGACGTTATAATTATAATTTACCGATATGATAATCTGAAATTATTTTCTTGACGCTCAGCATAATTGGTTGTTTAATGTTCGATAGTCAATTAAAGAGAATGTATATAAATTCTAAATATTGTTCTATTATCTTAATGCAAATTATATATATCGTTGCACTCTATTGATTCTATTGTTAATGTGACCAGAAAATTAGGATTATTATAATTATAAATATACTTGATATAAAGCTGCATTAAGGTTAATCCTTACATCAAAGTTAATTGTATTTGAGGGCTTTTGTCCAGGTTTCAAATTGGTTGAATTGTAGTCTTATTAATGCGTCACCAATTTTATCATTATTAATCTTATATAAAATAAATTTGTTATTAGCATAAAACTCTGACAAAACAATAAATATTAAAGACGTTATAATCATAATTCACCGATATGATAATCTGAAATTATTTTCTTAATGCTCAGCATAATTGGTTGTTTAATATTTAATAGTCGATTGAAGAGAAAGTTGGTAAAGGTGACGGTTGAATCATGAATTCAGAAGAATATATCTCTTCTATAGGCAATGTTAATCCCAAATCTGTAATTATTTCAAAGGTTAACTCAAATATAAACTGTATCTAATTAAAAAAAAAAAAAAAAAAGAGGCGTTAAAACTTCTATATATAGTTTGTAATAAATATTTGAACTACTTGCTTATATATATCAAACCGCGTTGTGTTTTTTTAGTGTTTGTCTTTTGTACTGAGATAATCATTCACCAGTGCAGCTATTAAGCGTATTAAGATAAAAATGGAGGACGAAATCTCAGTACATGCACGTAACTGACCTATGGTAAGTACTCTAATAGAACGAGAAAGAAGAAAAGACAATCAATACTCAAATATATAACTGTGTATATAAGTAAGAAAAAAAAAGAAGAGAGTTTAAAAATTCTATATATAGCTTGGAACTACTTGGTTATATATAGCAAGGCATGTTTTTTTTTTTTTAGTGGTTGTAATTTGTAAAGAGATAATCGTTCACCTTTCCAGCTATTAAAAAAATTTGGTAGGGTTAGGCCGTTGTAAGTACAAAAATTAAGTATATGTGCATAACTGATCTATGATAGAATGCAAAAGATCTTTTTTTTATAAACAGCCAATCAAATTATATTTTTGTCTCATAGTGTTTGTCTCATAACATTTGTCTTATAGTGTTTGTCTCCTTGTGTAACACACTCTTGCATTATATAATAGATTATATATATATATATAATATATAACATAAACTTATATTAAACAATTATACTTTTATATTTATCTAAACTTGTTTAAAATATTATTATATACCGAAATAATGTATTTTTTGGTGCTGAACAAGTTTACTCAGAGCTCAAAGTTATACTTTATTAGTAATATTTTGAGTAATACAAGATTTTCTATATTTTTATTAATAAAAATATAAAAAATTATCATAAACTAAAATTTTACTAATAAAATAGGCTTTATATTCTAAGTAAACTTGTTCAGCACCAAAAAATACATTATTATAGTATACGTTTTCTTTACTTTTCTTGATTTATAAAGCGAAGATATGTAAATTTAGTAAATTTTTATCAAAAATGCAATTTTACATATCTTAATTTACAGATTAAGAAAAGTAAAGCAAACGTATGCCATAATAATATATTTTTTGATGCTAAACAAGTTTACTTAGAATATAAAGTCACATTTTATTAGTAAAAAATTAGTTTATGATAAATTTCTATATTTTTATTAATAAAAATATAGAAAATTTATTGTAAACTAAATTTTTACTAATAAAATGTGCCTTTATGTTCTAAGTAAACTTGTTCAGCATCAAAAAATACATTATTACGGCATATGTTTGCTTTACTTTTCTTAATCTGTAAATTAAGATTTGTAAAATTGCATTTTTGATGAAAATTTACTAAATTTACACATCTTTGCTTTACAAATCAAGAAAAGTAAAGAAAACGTATGCCGTAATGATGTATTTTTGGTGCTGAGCAAGTTTACTTAGAACGTAAAAGCCTATTTTATTAGTAAAGCTTTAGTTTATGATAATTTTTTTATATTTTTATTAATAAAAATATAGAAAATCTTGTATTACTCAAAATATTACTAATAAAGTAACTTTGAGCTCTAAGTAAACTTGTTCAGCACCAAAAAATACATTATTATAGCATGTATTTGTATCTTATATAAGTTTATTAGAGGCTCAAAGTAATAATTAATTAGTAAAACTATATATATACAGTATATATATTATATATATATATTTAAATCAGCCAATCAGAATTGTCTTATGTGGGGGGAGGGGAGTACCCTCATAGTAAATGGATATTACGTAATATCTGTCACAGCCCTTACAGAAGCTAGCATTTTTTTTGATTTTTGTTTGTTTTGAGAGAATTGAAGAAAAAATAAATAAGGAAAAAAATATGACTATTTATTAAATTTATGATTTTTTATATGAAAAAATATCAATTCATACAATTTACAATTTAATATCGGTATGGAAATATTTATTACATAAATTTTTTCACTATAATATCTTTAATTATTTAATCAAAAAGCTTTCTTTGAAAACTCTTTTTTTTTTGGTCTTTTCAAAAAGTTTGAGATAATGAGTATATAATAAGCATATACATGTTATTTTAATTATTTGCACATTATTCGAATATGCTTATACACATTATTTCAAGTCTAATTTTTGTTATAAAATTAGCCAATATATGGATTGCTGTCAATAGAAATCAAGGAATTAACATTTTTAAAAAAATTAATATCTTAGTTTTTTACAATTTATATCTTAGTAAAACTTTTAACAAAATAGTATCTAGAATACCTTTTCAACATTAATTCATGAAGCTCACTTTAAAATTTACTGAGAATAAGCTATAAAAGCTATGATATTGATTTTTTTTTAGAACGTCAATTTTTTTGATTTCTATTAACTGCAGTCTATATTATACTGCATGAAGATGTTTTTTTATTATAAAAATTATTTTTTTAGAATAGCAAAAAATTATTTTTAAAAGAATATAATCTTTGAAATATGCAAACAAAATAGTCAAAAGGCTAAAATCGTTTATCTAATTAATTGATGATCCGGATAAGATCGGCATAATTACTATATTGGGACAATAGTAAATTTTGAAGATAAGTACAATATAACTTTTTATTATATACTGAAATCTGAGCGGAGTTGAATGAAAAGTATTTTTTTATTAAGCTAACAACTAAAGTCAATTAATTAAAAGTTGTAGAGCTCACTGAGAC